AGCAGATATATAATTTTTTAATTCACTCTCAAAAATCTGATTCTTAAATCTTGGTGACCATTTAGGGTCAACACTGTATGGGTCAAGCAAGCACATCTGTGTTAGGGAACAGTGGGCAAGTATCTGAAAATTACCTTTGATAGAAGTCCAATTGAGGCTGTTTTTCAGAAAGTTTCATAGATAAGCTACTACAAAAATCCCCTATGACAGTATTCCTAAATAATATGCGCTTTTGCACCCCTGTTCAGGGCCCACTGAATCAGAAAGTACACAGAGTTACCCCGGGATTCAGAATTTTCTACAAGGATTTTCTATGTAATCTACAATATGAAAGTCAAGGACAGACTTAGCATACTCTAATAACTTCATAATCTTAATTAATATCACTATCATATTTTGTTAAAAATCTAATTAGTGGCTATTAAAGGGACGTCTACATTTTTTCCTCTACAAATGCTTCAAAAAAGTTTACATGCATGTCACTTTCATTTTAAGGACTGTCACTGTCACTGTCCTCCCATTGTTCATCGATTTGCTCGAGCGGGCCTAGTAACGTCTCCATTGGAGACTTTGTTGTTACTGTGTTTGGCATATTGAATACATCATGGGTAGCTTGCCAGGCTCTGTTGTGGGGTGAGATACTCTCAGTAGCTTGCCAGGCTCTCCGAGAGGGGCGGAGGAATTGAACTCGGGTTGGCCATGTTGGCTGCGTGCAAGGCAAACGCCCTACCGCTGTGTTATTTGAGCTATTGTTGGTTCTCATTTTAGGATCTAAAAATTCTGTACATTTCACTTATTAATCTAATTTTTGAGCCACACACGGCAATGCTCAGGGGTTTCCCATGGCTCTGTACTTCGTAACAGTCCTGGCGGTCCCCAGGGAGACATAAGGGATGTTAAGGATCAAACCCAGGTAAGACCCATGTAAGGCAAGCGGCCCACCTACTGTTTTATCTCTAGCCCCAAACTCTGTACATTTTAACTATTAAACATTACAAACTTGCCTTTTAAAGTTTGCAGAAGTCGTATTACAATTGGCAGAGTATATGGTTGTCTTTATCCTGATATTCCTAGATATTAGAAAAAGTTTCACCTTGAGAGAAATGGTTAAAAATAGTCTGCATTTTAAAACTGTGTCAAGTTTTTTATTCCTAGTGTAATGTTACTAAGTCACATGAAAAAAGAGTCAGGGAGAAAGAGACAGTACAGCAGGGAAGGCCTTTGCCTGCAGTGCACCAGGGTTGGATTCCTGAAGCAACTATGGTCTCTCCAGTTCAGCCAGGAGAGATTCTATGAGTTAGGAAAATGCTTCAGACACCACCTAGTGTGCCCCTTCTTAAAAAATTGCGTGTTTAAAAGCTGCTTGTATATCCTTTATTTGGGTAATTTTCAGATACTTGCCCACTGATAATGAAAAGGCAGAAAATGAAAACTGATACCTTCCCTGCTCAGTGCCAGCCTCCTAGAGATCCTTTTTATGTTGTTTTTAGGACCATATTCAGTAGTGCTCAAGGGGACCATATCAAGTGCCTGGGATTGAACCTGGGTAGGCAGGGAAGGTGCCTTGCCTGCTCTGGCTCTCTTTATGTCCTCTTATGCTTTTTCTTTCTTCCCAATCTTGCTTCCCTTCCCATTGGCACCTACTCATTAAACTAATTTATTTACTTTCACTATTCTAGCAGGACTCACGCTTTGTCTTGAGTATTATATTCACTTGTTCATTTTCTTTCCTCATTCACGTTTAATAGTTTACTTTTAGTTGGGGAGGGTTTGGGACCACAATCTCTGTGCTCAGGGGTCACTCCAGAAGTGCTCAGAAGACCAGTTCTGGGGATCAAACCAGGGTCTACTGCATGGAAGGCAAATGCATTAACTCTTGTACTATCTCTCTGATCCCTTAATATTCTTTTTTTTTTTTTTAAAAACTATTTGACATAGTTTGGAAAATTAGATTATTTAAACATTTTTAATATAGTATTTTAAAACAATGATAATCTAAATAATTCACCCAACGTTTTCAACACTTATTTTTTTTATCATATTAACCTTTTAAAACAAAAGTAGCATTTCTTTTCCTATTTTTAGAACTTTGCTTTATTATTTTTCATGAATTTTAAGTATAACGCTATGTTAATGGACAAAAAGTCACTAACGAAAAAAATTACTTTAAAAATGTGAGCAAAAGTACTATAAAGATTTAAATAGCTTTATATGTAAGCTAAAACTTTTCATACTTAGAAGTGAACTCTTTTTTTTTTTTTGGCTGGTGGGCTTTCTTGAAGAGCTCTTATTTCAAAACCCAAATGGGATTTCAAAATACAAGTAAATAAATGTCAAAGTCTCTTGGCCTCTGCTCTGCCATTCTATGCCTGAAATTCTGCCAAAATGAAATTTTCCATTCAAGAAGGGCTGGCATTTACTAAGCTGAATTTTTTTAAAGACTCACTTTTAAAAGTAGTGGAAACTTTGTGCAACTCTTGACGTTTCTCCCTGTGGATAGAACAGCTGTCTCTGTAGACATTTTCCATAAAGGCAACATTTTCTGAAAAACAAATTTTCAGCCTACCAGCATCTTCAGCCACTACTAGTTTTCCCTCAGTGCCACGCACACAAAGTAAACAGCAAACTGGAGTTTGTGTATCACTGGGTATCACCAAAAGCACAGAAAGAAAAAGCGGGAGAACAGAGCAGGGTTTAACAATTGCCAGAGGGCCAGTCCAAAGGGCCAGTGCTCACTTTAAAATGTTTCATCAAAATATTTCATCAAAACTGAGTTCTTTATTCAGATAACATAATTGTCTATTACTTTTAACAGTAAATATTTGAAAATCTGAGTGCTTTTAAAGAATCAAAGATGAAATTAAGTAACCCCTGAAACAAGTAGGAAACTCGGGAGGATTAAACGCGCCAGTTCTGTGGACCAGTGCGGGGGAGGGGGGGGGGGAGAGGAGGAGAGGGGGAGGCAGTGTTTTGGTTGACTTGTGAAGAAGGTGAGATTTGAAAAATGTAAATTAAAACTCTCAATCAGAGAAAACGTCCACCATTCCTAAAGACACTTTGAATTAACAATTGGGATAAATCAAACTTTAAGAAATTACATAACACCAAGTGAGAAAAGTAATCACATCAACAACCGAACTTTCTTGCACTTATAGCATCTTGAAACAGCCACGAAGTTACTACTAGTCCTTCCCTAAGGTTTCCCCCCTTCTTTCTTTTTCGCAGCTTTTCTGATATAAAGTGCATCCTGAAACAATCTCTTTGTGATCCTTTCATTTCGGAACCCCCGCGCCCCCAACTTGTTATTACTCTAAGAAGTAAGCATCTTTATCCTCTCCCAGTATTTGTTCACGAATAGGAAATCAAGAAAACACCGACGGCGGGGGCGGGGGGAAGATTTTGCGGTTTGGGAAATTCGGGCCTTTGTTGTGTCATTTCCCCTGCCCCTCCACGCCCCCAGCCACGTGACCAAGGAAAGCCTGGGATTTTGTGAATGGAACCAAAAGGTGGCTACTGGCGCGAGCGAGGTTCCGCCCACTTTCTTTAAACGGCCAATCTTCGAGCGGAGCGCTGCGGGGTCAGCAATAAACAACAATGGACTGGGGATTTACGTTTCCTTATTGGCTGCAGCTAGCACCCAGGGTAGTCGGGGCTACCCTGAAGCTCCGCCCCTTCCCGGTTACCCGGGATACCAGTCAGGCTCCGGCCTCACAGAAGGTCTTTGGAAAACTTGCTCGGTTTATAGGGACAGGGTTGTACCCGTCGTGCCAGGCGGCGCGGAACACTCTATCGGCCACCCCATCTCTAGCCCGCCGCCAAAAGTACCCTCAGAAAGTATCGGCGAGCCCCCACTATCCTCCCTTTGCTGCACGGGCTGAGCCCGGAACCCCTCCGTAGCCGGGGTTAAAGTGCAGTTCCCGCTCAAAATGCAAATTTTGTGAACGCAAGCTACTCGCGTTTACAAGTTTCAGAATGCACTGTGTATCTTTGCTGCCCCACTCCCATTATTTTTTTTAATTAGAGAATCACATTTGTTTACATAAATCTTTCCCTCCTTGATTCCGGAGTTGGATCTTGGGCGCTTATACTCCATTTTACTGTGTCTCGGTAACGTTCCATTCAAGGAAGGAAACTTTCGGATTGGAATTGAGAACTGCAGCACGTTTCTCCACGGGCAGAACAGCTGCCGGAAACGTCCTTTTTAGTCTCTTAACTGATGGCGAACAGATCACAAGTGAATTTCAACACCCCTGACTCCCAGGTCCCATCCCAGAGGCCTCGAAATGGCCAAGACTTCCAAAAGGATCTTTATAGCTTCAAGCCCCAGAGGAGAGAGTCGTGACAAGTGGTTTCAGAGATGCAACCTCAATAGTAAACGTCCCAGTCTTTGTCCTTGAAACCTGAGACCCTTCACAGCTGGCCCCCAGACTCCGAGCTCAGACTGTTTAAAAGCTGGAGAGGAAGTGAAAGCGTCAAGTACAGTGACACCCTCCGCCTCCGTGTATACATAACAAAAGCTCAGGAAACCTGCGGGTTCCTCGGATATCCGAGCCCTCCCACCTCCTCCCGACTCCTCCCCACCGTCACTGTGAACTGGAAGCACCTTTTGCCAACCCACACGTGGGAAGGAATGACTTTATATATATAAACTTTTCCTCACCCAGATTGTTCTTGTGATCCTTCTGTTCTTCCTCCCAACGCAACCCTCTAGGCTTCTCTCTTGCATTTTCCCCAGAATCTTTATTTTTCCTATCCCATGAATGGTCATGCTCTTACTTTACTTGAGAATGGTCTTGTGAAATAAAAATGCGTCCGAAGGAACACAGAGGAGGGGCGGTTGCTGCAAAGAAGCGGAAGAGCTTGGGTCCAAAGCTTAGAGGGAAGAAGGCTAGCGAGCGAGGTGGGCTTCTTATCAGGTTAAAAGTGTGCGTGGGCCGGGGGGGGGGGATTTGGGGGTGAGGAAAGGCGGAGTAATGAGGCGCCAGGTCTAGGTGGATCGCGCTAGAGTCTACACCTGAATCTAACAAGCGTGCTTTAGGAAATGAGCACAGTAGTGGAGCAAACACACCAGCAAGAACTAGGGACTCGTGGCTTGAGTGTCCCCGGGCGCCGTAACAATAAGCGGCAGCTTAGGAAGGCGGGCGATTTCCTCGCTGGCGTTTCCAGGCTGTGGACCCCGTAAGAGGCGGCCGAGCACGGGTCTGGGCTGAGGGCTAGGGGAGATCCAAGAGAAGGGGCAGCAAGCCGCCTGATTGACAGCTCGAAATCTGATCTTGTGAAAGAGAAGCGGAGCCAATGGGAGCCAGCGATCCATCAGTTTGGATTGGAGGCCCCTGGAGGAGAAGTAGAGGAAAAACCACCGAATTGAGCTCTGTCAGAGGCGCTTTCAGCTTCCAAGGGGGAAGTGCTGGGCAATAATTAATGTTTTTATTAAATTTGGAGAGAATTTTTTGCAGCCGTTCGCCTAACGAGGCCTTCAGGTGGGTCTTTCCAACAACTTTTTTTATGTCTCTCCAAATAATTGCATGGTTGTGGGTTGCAACAACTCTCCTTATGAAAGAGGTGTCTCCGTCTCTTTAGTCCCGTTAGGTGCAAAGCAAGTCTCGTTGATCGCCATTGCTAGTTTTGCACACGTTTGCGAATCTGTGCTGCCCGGGGTACAACGACTGCGCAGGGAAACATCGGGAGAGTAAATAAATACATCGCCTCTTGTTCGGATTTTTTGCTACTGCCGAAAATATGTAAATTGTGAACTCTCTTGGCTCTCTTTGGATCCAGGTGAAGGAGGCGGTGTAGGGAGGGTTATTTTTGTGAATGGGACTGTGGAGGGTAATTAGCTATGCAAATTCAAGAGCTTCATTCATGATTTTTTTTTTAAGCCTAAAAGCCATCTTGTTCCCCTCTAGGTTGATTGAAGTCCAGATCCTGAGGAAATCTCCAGCTAAATGCTCAAAATATAAAACACTGAGCTGAGATTTGCGAAGAGCAACAGAATGGATGGATTTTATGACCAGCAAGTGCCTTACATGGTCACCAATGTGAGTGATCAGTTCGAAAGTTGCCGTTTATAAACTTGACTCCGAGGGAGGGGGCCGGGAGGAGGGAGAGAATGAGAAGGGAGGGGGCAAGAGGGTTGGGATTGCAGATACTTTATCTGCTTTGTTGCCACTGTAGGGCGACTCTGCCTCTAGAAGCCCAAGCTTCAAAATGAGCTTACCTTTCAGTGATTTGGATAAGGCATAGTTTTGTTTTTAAGACCCCCTTTTTTTCCCGATTAAAGCGCCCAAGATGAGTGGAAGAGGAGATGCAGGGCAGCAGCAGCTGCTGCACTCAAAGTTTTTGGCTGGGTTTGTCTGCCACATTGAAAAGAGCGAAGTTGAGACAAATGCTGACACTTTTTGTTTACATGGGTGTTTTTGGATTTTGTTTTTTCCTCTCTCTCTCTCTCTCTCTCTCTCTCTCTCTCTCTCTCATTTCTTCACTCCGCGGGGGGCGGGCGGCTATTAGAGAAAATAAAGTTTACTGTATTTTATTTTAGCTTTGATCCAGCCTAAAAATGACTTTAAGTGTAATTGCTTAATGTTGTTTTCATGCTGAGATACCATGCATAAATGACTGATGAGTAGAAGTGTGTTAGTATCCTCTCTGGGAAGCAACTCTCCCTGGCTGCAATTCTCAGCATCAGTTTTCACTGTCAAATGAATGTAGAAAACGCATATTAGAATTTACTCTATGGACGTTTATTTTCAATTCAGAGGGACATCCAGTAGACTTAAGTATGCATGTGTTTTTCTGTGTGTCATCTGAGGTTTACATTCTTTTTAAAGGATTTTATCTTTCCCTTTGTAGAGTCAGCGTGGGAGAAATTGTAACGAGAAACCAACAAATGTCAGAAAAAGAAAATTCATTAACAGAGATCTGGCTCATGATTCAGAAGGTGAGGTTTGTTTGGGGGCTGGAATTCAACCCCTTTACCTATATTTCACGCCCTTATAAAATATTAGAGGAGCTAGGGGCACTTCAGGCTTATATTAAAAATAATGAGCTTTCAAGTTACTCATTTAATGAGAACTTTTGCTTAGTGTTCACATAATGCAAGAACTTGTATGGGATAGTATTTTTGGCTCCTGTCACAAACTGATGAAATTAAATTAAAATTTAACAGTGACATCTTTTTAAAAATCATTTTTTCTATTTAACTATCTTTGTCCATATGGCTTATAACAAACCCCATATACTCAAGTAAACAATTTAAAATATTCAACACAGTGGGACAAATTAAACGACTATGAACACTATTTAACTTTTTCTTTGTGTTTTATTAGAAATTAAACTATGAAAACAGGCTTGATTTCTTATCTTTACACAAAAACATTCTCTATTATCAAATTGTTCCTGATGGTTTTGACGTGCCTGCTGAGGTCAAAAGATTCTGTTTATAGGCTATAAAGGCATTCACTAAATCATAATTAGGCCTAATTAATAATTGTAATACCTATTTGGGAAATTAGATTACAGATTCCTTTTATGAATTGTTGATAGGAGGTCAATATACTCTAAGTTATTTCAGCCATATGGAACAGTCATAATAAACTTAATGTATTTAGAGTTTATTAACAAAGTTCAGCTTGGAAGTTTGGTTAGCTATATTGAATTTTGAAACTTCCTCAAATCTTCATTCTTATTGGACACCCATTCCCTTCTCCACTATGACAAAATACTAGAATCTGGAGTTGAGGAAACAGGTGCTGGGAAATTATCTTACCTTTAACTTCTGTAATTTTTCTTTTAAAACTTACATTTCAAGTTGCTTTTTGTAGTTTTTCAGGAACTGAAATTGAAAAGAAAGTATTTTGAGATATGTCATATTCGGTAGTTATCTTTTGTTTAGGATTTTGAAGATGCAAAAGTTTTCAGTATTTCCCCCATATTTTAGTAGAGTTGATTATACTTAAAGTATGAGAAGCTCTGGTTAGACATATCTTCACCTCATGCTTTTTCAAAATCATAATACATGTGTTGCAGTTTGCTGTACCAATGGTAACTAACTATATTATTGAGCTGACAAAAAAAGAATTTCCTCAAGTTTCATAAATGGCCATCAAAATAGTTGATTTTTCATTTAAATTCTGCATTTTATTTTTTATACTCCCATATCAATTTTATGACAGTTTTCTTAAGTGAAGCCTAAAGATTTGCAAATCTTTTGTTTATGTCTTTGACTTGTTTTTTAGAACTCTTTCAAGATCTAAGTCAATTACAGGAAACATGGCTTGCAGAAGGTAAGGAAAAAAATAAATGCTTTAAAGAAGGGGAAAAGCAACTCTAGAAGGGGAGGGAGGGGGTGGGAAGTCCTGAACTTGCTGTCTTAATGTTCAGCCCAATTAATTGAGCTCTAAAAGAGCCACCTCATGTGTCATGCATACATTAGAGCCTCTGATGAGTTTGTCTTTGGGGAATCTGGGGCTGCACTACCCAGTGTCATCACAAATTACCAGGAGAAATTGCTTCCAGCTCACAATCACATCTGCTTTTGGCAAGAACTAATGCACCAAGACTTCAAGTTCTAAGCCTCTGTTCAGATTTTAATTGCAATTGATCAGGTTTATATTATTGTACCTCGGGAGACCTCCTAGAGCCAGAACTCAGGCTGCTGTTTCCTTTGGAGCAGCACATATTATTATTTGGTGTTCTGGTGGAGGACTTTTCTGATGGCAGAAATTAGTTTCTCTGGGTTCATCAGGACGGGATGCTTCAAGATTTAAGTGCAAGTGTCTTCTTTCCACCTTGTTCACAACACAGAACGTTAGGTGTGTATCCGATTCTTAGGAAATCTAAGACTTTAAAATAAGTCTTTGGAGGATTGTGAAAATGTTTCTTACTTGTTACAGTTATGTGATGTTTGTTGAAACTGACCTTTGCTGTTATGTCACTTTTATTGGGATTGATTTAATGTAGGGAAGAGATATTTAAAAATTTGCATTTATTTTGGAATATTTTTGATAAAATTTTATGCTGCATCCTATTCTGTATGTTATTGTCTGAAACTTTACTTTGTAGGAACCATAAGGTATTGCTTTCAGTACAGCTTTGTTGCAACTGATAAATGCCTAGTGCTGAGGGACTTTGCATCCATAATTTAAAATTATTTTCTTAAATTTGTCACACTAACTGTGAAATAATAATTTTATCTTATGTTGTGTGTTGTGGAAACATAAGGAGAAAATTATAGATGTTTAAGCATTGAACATAATTGTTTATTTCTGTTTTTACGTTCAATGGAAAACACCGATTTTGGAGCAGATTTTTAGATGAGAAAGAGTGGATCTTTTTAAAGGGAATCCTACTGTGGCTGTAGCTACTTTGAGTCAGGATGCTCTGTTTTATCCATGGTCCTGCCAGCAGTTGTTCAAATTGCTGTTAGTATGTAAAATAAGTTTCTTTGTTTTGCTAATATTCTACTTCTCCAAAGAGCTTTTTGCAGCAATCTGTAAGAATCTCTTACATTAAAATAGCTTTCCTGATAACCCTTTGTATAGGTGATTGTATTTGTATGTTAATGAAAGGTAAGTATTAATGCAGATTTTAGTTTTGTTTAAAGGTCATTTTGCTTGTTTCTGTAAATGAAACTTATTGCAATAGATTACTTTTGATTGCAGCATAAGTCATGTATTCCAGCACAACTTTTTTTAAAGAAAAAAAAAATCAGAGAGTTTCTTGTATTAATTTTTATCAGTTTTGTAAAGTCGAGGAATATGAGCGCATTCCTCTTGTGAGGGAATTTCTTCACTTATGCAAATAAATTAAATGCCTCTTAATTGTTTTGGAAGATTTCTTGATTCTTAAGATGTTTAAAATCTCATTGATTCCAAGTCAGTTGCACTTGCTGGCAGATTAAGAATGTGCATAACAACTCTTCTTGGAATTTTGAATTGTGAAATCTGTGACAGACTCTTTACTATCTTATAATCAGTTTCAGTGTAGTTTTTTGCTTTTGACTTGTTTTGTTTCTTTGTTGCTCAGATAAAGGATTTGAATAGTTTGACTCTACCTCTTGCACTATTTCTTACCTGTGGTTATTATCGTACCTGTAAATGAAGATTTGTATATTTAGCTTTATATTGAGTAAACCTAGAAAATGAGGCATATGGAGGATCATGGATTTTTGCTTAGAAAAAGAGTAAGCTTAAATGAGTTCAGGAATTAATTCTTGGAGCATTTTATTGAATACCCAGGTGAGCAGCTTTGTACAAACTATAGGCAAAATTGTATCTTAGAGTAATTTAAACATTTTCCAAAATAATTCACATTCATTAATTCAATCATAATTGAAGAAAATTTATTTAATATGATTTTTTAAATCCAATAGTAATTTTTTTTTTACTGTTAATAGACTGCATTTATTTTTAGCAATGACTTGATAATCATATCATCTTGCTTTATCATTAATTTGTCTTATACCATGTCTTGAACAGTGTTAGTTTAGAAGAGATATGAGAATTAGACTAGCTTATCTGAAGCTAGATTTGTCCATGTATGTCCTTACTGACATTCAGAAATTAAAGCATTGGCAATTTGGGTGATAGAATCATTTGCATATTTCTTTTCATAATACTTTTTGGGCAAGAAAATGATCACGGAATTTTAAGGCATCTTGAGTTTAAAGTTTTAAAAAAGGTCGCTGGCAATTAACCAAGTTTCTTCCATGAGTTAAAATCCCACTGGAAACTTAAACAGGTCTAAAACTCTTATTAGGTATGAGAATCAAATTACTTATATGTTAGGAGAAAATCATATTTAAAAAAAATTATCCAGTCACTATACACTTGAGAAATGTTATAGTGTAGAATCTTTTTTTTTCTTGTGCAAATTTTTGTAAATTAACCAGAGTACAACATACAAATCAATCATAGGTAAATTATTATGAAGTACGAAATGTGTTTTATGCCCAAAGGTAAGTTGTGTTAGATGAGGTAGTACTACTTGAGGGTAGGGTTAGGAATAGAATTTTCAATTTCCTAAAATCTAATATAAAAATATTTCTTTATTTTCCCCAAATTATTCTTCATATAGAATCTAAAATATATGTTTGATGAATTTTTTAACTTTTAAACAATTGTGCATGTACTAATACTGTAACTTAAGTATTCTTTGACATACACATGACAATTTAAAATTGCATATTACCCTGAAGAAAACTGAAAAGCTATACTCTAACCACATCAATAGCTTAATTTTTTTTGAAAACTCCTATTTAGAATATTGCCATAGTCTGTATTGTAACATAACTATGTGCACTTCTTTATTGATTCTTTGTCTTTTGAATTAGATTGCTACTGACAGAAAGGCAATTTCAATTATTCGATCAAATGAAATAATGAGTTCAAATATTAACCCTATCAACATTATGGTAACTACTTATTCCTGAAAACCTTTTTTAAGTCATGATTCAGTATAGGTGGCCTATAAGTTCATTGTTAAAATGAGCTCTTTTTTTATGGGTGGGAATTAGAAAGAGAAGGAAGTAAAATTTAGTTTATGAAGAATTGTGTTTGTCTAAAATTGCTTACTAAAGCTTACCTATTAACACAGCTTAAAAGAGAAATATCAAGTTTTATACATATCTGATGTAAATTCATCACAGCTTTTAAATGTTATTCTTGATATGTTTCTAGATTTTTTGAGATTTTCTTTTCATCAGTAATATGCTAAGGAAAAAGTCAACTGTGATTTGATGTCATCAGTTTCTAATAATCTGAATGGTGGTATACAAGTTTCACTATGATGTTAGCTGAGCCAAAGTTTTGTTTCCAAGAACAACCTTTGTACACCAAAGATCTGCTAGTTTGCTCTAATAAGGCATTTTTCCTATTGTTCTATTTGATCTTCAAGTAATTGACTTAGAGATGTCGTTATATCTCTTCAATTCACTTTAATAACAGATCCAAAATGAGTACTCAAATAATTTATTATAAGATTCCCTTAATATGCACTATTGATCCTTGCTTTATGTAATGCTGTCAATAATATACAATAGTCACAATGCACTCTTTTATTTTTTAAAAAATTAGGTTGTTCTGTTTAAAATGAAACACTAAATGGAATATATGCTCATTTTTTTTGGTTTTATTTTTTTTTAAGGTGCTGCAGTAAGGAATAAAGGCTTTAAAAACTACAGCATTTTATGTGGTTTCCAAATTACAGCAGCATTTACAGTTTCTTAGACCCGAACATGGGGGTTTCTTTTCATGGGGATGGGGGTTAAGTGGAACGTAGCCTCAGGTTTTGTTCTACCAGGAAACATTCTAAAATACAAACAAACTTCATATTTTAATTGATTCAAAGTTTCAGGTAGAGTAAATGTATGTTATTCCTAAATATTCATTACAATTCTAGAAATGCTTTTCATTAGATATATTTAAACAATAGAAAAGTTTTTAAAAATAAGGTCTGAATTTGGTGTAGTTTTTATAGTTTTTACCGAGGGTCCTTACGAATGTTAATGAAATACCACTGAACTTACATTACAGGAACTGTGTTAACTTCATAATATGGCTTTATTCCCTTTGACACCTGATATTATCTTTAAAATAGTAACAAAAGAACAATCTCATTAAACCTCTGGAGCACTAGAGTAAATTTGGCCAGAAAAAACTGAGCTATTAAGTTTTCAAATCATTACAGGTCACTTTAGTTACTTAAATTTAAACTGATTTGAAACTAAAGAAAATTGAAATTTACTGTTTCTTTTCTTTGAGCATAGAGAATATCTTTATCAACAACGAAAGATGTTTCTGTCTTGGGGAAATGGTGCCCTTTTTTGGTATGTTTAAATATGTTTACACTCCACATTAATTAATGCTTATACATTGCTACAATCATTTTAAATGTGAAAAGCGGATGTGGTATAAAACCAGGCTTAGTGGCCTCATGATTATTTTGTTCCATGGCCTGAAGCTTCATTTTAAGATTAAACAGAATGCCACTGTGCAAAAGTTGACTTTCTTGTTCTTTTACTTTTATTTCAAATCAGATTTAAATTTTGTTAGAGAAGCTTGTTTCTAACCCTTTCATCCCAAGTGAAACCCAGTTTAGTAATTATTATAATCTTAAGATAAGAAAATCTGCATAATAGCACGATAAATGAAGTAAATTTTAATGGTTTTCCCTCCTTAGTTCTTTTCTTCCTCTCTTCCTTTATCCTCCTTGCTTTCTTCTTTTCCTTTCTTAGTTTTGTGTATTCACGTTTCTGTGACATTACCCTCATAAAACAGGGTGGGTTAAATATTACATACACACTTATATTTAGATATGGGTTTGACTCTGTAAACTTGTCAGATGTCGAAATATGCACCTAATGGTTCTGAGCAGTATTTGAGACAGAGCAATAAAATCGCTGTGTTTATAGTGCAAGTTCAAGTTGACTTGCTTTGGTTCTCTGGAAGGGTGTGACATGAAAAGATTGCGGTTGGGCCACATGTCTAACACTGGACTGTGTTTTTGTGAATGGAGGCAGAACTCCAGTTCTGCCTGCTTGTCTGGAGGAATTGCTGAGGAGATCAGCTGTCTCATTCACTGGCAGAAAGAATGACTCATACTTCTTCCGCCTTGTTTGGCTCCAGGTCATTGTTACAGTGGATAGAACTGGTTTTAATTAAATATTAACCCCTTTTGCACTTGACATTTGTATAATTTGTTGTTTTTCTGCTTTATCTCAAGCTTTAAAGGATAATTCAACAGGCCTCTCCTTTCCAACGGAAAAAGGGCTTTTTACGTGCCTGCTAGTCAACCTGGTGAAGAACTTAAGCACTCACTTTCTGATTATTTTTAAAATGAAAATATAAGTAAAGTCAAGGCAAAGTCTTGTTTAAAAATTGCACAACTTCAAGGAAGTGTTAGTAAAGGAGTTCAGTTTAAATTGAAAATGGGAGTTTTAGTGATTCTGTGATCTTTAGGTCATTACTAATTTTATATGAGTTTTTCAGGACTCCATAGAAAAAGAGAGGAAAAAAATCTTTGGATAATAATCTGGGTAAAGCAAATAGCTGAGAGTGCAGATACTACCCTTTTAAAGTCGAAGTCCTGAGACTTGATGGCAACTTGTCTATTAATGTGCAGCGAACTGATAGAGCTGCTCTAGCTATTACCAATAAAATCCACATGCTTAATCTTCTTGAAAGGCTTTTATTGGTCTTTTGGTATATACTTTTCCCCCTTCTCCTTTCTTACTCTTCCCCTTCCTCTTTAATTACATTGTGAGGGGAAACATTTTCATTCCCCAAAGGTGATTATTCCAAGCATAACTTTATAATAGAGCAGTGAAAAAAGCCCCTTTTCAAAGGTTGGCTTCTATTGTTAATTTTCCTCTTTGGAGCTGGTATTCCTTCCAACAAATTTTCATGCAGTTCTAGTTTGCTTCATCACAGAATACCCGTGAATTGAAGGGGGGAAAAAAGAAATGCATGATATGAGTGTGGCAATACTTTGTCATATTTTCCTCACCCAGATCCAACTTGTGTTTTTAGTTAACTGCTTTACTTTTACTCCAGCTAAAAATTAGAGGTATACTTAAGTCTTTGTCTATTTAAGTAGCAGGCTGCTTCATTTGGTCTATTCAGTTTCTTAAGATTAGCTTCTGTGAAATCTGAGTCATATGTTTTTTGTTAAAATTCGTAATATGCTCAGGCATAAAGTGTGAAGGTATTTATTCAGTATGTTAGAGTTAGAACAGAAATAGCAAAACTTATTCTTTTTACAAATTGTTTGCATCCAGTTATTTTCTGTAAGTTTGTGAGGTATAACTTCAGTTTCTTCTACTCCTGACGATTTGCCCCCCACTGTAAGCAATACTTAGCACACATCCATCAGAATTCTTATGCCTTTCTAATAGTTTTATTTATCATGGAATTGCAACTTTCTCTTGTTATAGTAAGAAGGGGGGAAATTCTAGTCATAAGACATTCATACTAGCATATTCAGTTACAAATATACTCTCGTTACTCACAGTCTATTTTTAACTATTCCTGTAAAGGGATGTTACATTTTTATTAGGTTTTATAAATGCTGACTTTAAAAAGCATAGTAATTACTATGGCTGATATTTTTGCGTTTATTTGTTTAGCAGTTAATTTAGAAGGAAACCAAGAATATGTGGATATGATATAAAAATGTTAGAAAATGTTTGTCTACCTACTATATTAGACTAGTGTTAACATGTGCGTAAGTTTTTGGTGTAAAGATATTTTACTGGATATTCCTCCACTTATATCTTATATCTGAGGAAAATCAAACTTTCTGCAATGTGAATAAAAAATTTTATAGCTAACAGCGTTAATGTATGTTGCCTAGCTATATTTTATCACTCTCCAATATAATTAAATAGAAGTAAATATATTAAAATTGCATTGGAATATGGGAAATTGTGTGTGTATGTGTGTGTGTGTGTGTGTGTGTGTGTCTTGAAAGAAGAAAGGTTAATAGTGAAGGACAGTGGCATCTCTTGAGTATTTGACATGTGTGTGCGGAGTATCGCATTTAGATTATTTCTTTTAATTCTTAACAAAATCCCTATGCTGGAACTATTAAAGTATGAGTACAGTGGCGTTTAAAGAAGTTAAATACTGTTACATAGTTTTACATGTACTGACAATCTTAGGACTGTGATTTGAAGTTTACCTAACTTTAGATACCATGATATCATATAGGATACAAAGAGAAAGAAACAGTTCTAGCAAAGGCTTATCAAAAATACTTCAGTTATAACTAGAGGAGAAAATAATATGAATGTGTTATTTTTGGTAGCAAGGTTAGACTTTGTTTTTAATAAGTGTAAATATTACTCTACTGAAGAGAGTTGTTGGAAAAGCTGAATGTCAGACTATATATGCTTTAAATATAGGTAAGATTATCACTGTCCTTAATATAACAATTTTCATTCTGACACATTTTCCTGAGTTTTAATATTAAATAAGATTTAAAAATATTAAGCAAGCCTTTTTCTAGATATGCCTTTTATATAGAATTAATTTTATGTAAAATTTTGTTAACTTATTTAATTTACACAGACAATTTTGTTCTATATGTTCTATATTTGTCTTCATTCAGAGGAGCTTTTTTAAAAAAAATTGACATCAATTTTAATATGATTTAAGTGGATAAAATGTTTCAGGTTTAGGTACTACTAATAAAAGAAGTGCTAGCTAATTGCTTCATATCCAAATAAAATTAACCAAGCTTTTATTTTATGTAGTTTGTATGTGTATATACGTGTTTCTATGTGAAAACTGATTTTATAAGTCAGTTTATGATAGCTGAATCAGCTGTGCTAAAAATATATTTTGCAGTGGAAAAGTATACTTGTGTTTTGATTATTGCCAAATACATGACATTCTTACTATTCAGTTCATTTTTCGTTAGTAAAAAGAAGGAAACTATTTGATATTAATACCAATGAATTTGTGATATTCTTTTCTTTAGTGATGAAGCGTTGCCGGGGGAATATTTTTGCATGAAAGGATAGGATTTTTAATATTATATATTTTTATAACATGAAAATATGTTTTATTATATATGGCCAGATTCAGAAGGATACTTTCACTTAAAAACCTATTAAGTTTTGGCCAAATTTAGGGCAAACATTTTTATTTATGATAATCTACTATGATTATTTATGGTGATCTATTTATTTACAATAAGTGTCTGAATATTCCAAAAGCAGACATTTCAAAAATAGAAGAAGGAAATGTGGTAACAGTATCATTTGATGGACTAGTAAGGTTAATTTAAGTGAGTTACTTTAAACTCTGAAAATGTGTAAATTAAAAACCTTTGCTCCATTCTTATAGAAGCCCTGCAGATAATAGAAATTCTGTAGCTTTTATTTTCCGTGTCATTTTTGTTTCCATCTAGCAGGTGAAATTCAAAGTGACTCCAACTGCCACCATTATATTTGTCATTTATGTTTTCTAGTTCACATCAGTTGATTGCTTTTGTTTCCAAGTATTGCTGTCAATACCATTTTCAAATAGGAACTCATTGGCAAATAATCAGGGTTTGATCTCAGCCTAAAAAGGTCTTGTTTACAAGATCTTACTTGATATTCCTTATACCTTGGCAGTGTCTTTCTTAATTTTTTTTTTAATGTTTTCTTTTCTTCAGCTCAGGTACCTGACAATGATGAGCAGTTTGTGCCAGACTATCAGGCTGAAAGTTGTAAGTATAGTATGACTCATCTCTTGAAATTTTCTTTGCCTGTTTCCTTCTTTCATTCTTTCTTGTTGGTTGCTTTTCACTTGTAGTGTCTGTTCTTGCATTGTGTCAGTACCTTTTCAGCTTACAGTCATGAGGTGACTTTACTTGATAGATTGTGTCATCAGCCGACTCCCTGTAAAATCCGAGCAGAACTCCAAATAGTAGCAAGAGAAATCAATTTGATTAAAAGATGGTCCTGTTCTCCATACTTGGTTAATATCCTTAAAAAATAAACAGAGCGTGCATCCATAAGTATACAAGTGCTTTCCTCTGAGATTTTCAGTATGTTTACAAGGAAACGATAGTTAAAGGCTTATCAGAATTTTTGTTGTATAACATAAAAATTCCGAACTAAGCAGTCATTGGCTTATTGTTTTATCATACATTCATGAACTGCCACATGCTTGGATTTGATTTTTAGCATCATTTTCTTCTTCCTGGTTGTAATAACACAAATGGAAGTGGAGATTGGCTTCTCTTAGTATCTCTTCAGTGTTCCTTTCCCCAAGATTTGCTCCAGGGCTTGACTGTCAGGGAATGCATGAAGAGTGATTCATGGGGTACTCACCCTCTTCCCTTAATTACAGTGAATATTTTGCTTGCACAAATAAAATTGCCTTAGGGTTTACTTCTGATATTTATGCTTTACCATTCTACCAACTAACAGCAGCTATTGACCTGACGTGCAAATAGCTGAGGGTACCAATGCCATCTTGATTGTGAAACTGACTTAATACATTTTATTCTGTTAACAACATTAAACTTACTGGTTTCATTTTTCAAGACCATTGGTAGTTTCACAAGAAGCATTTCAGTAGCCACAAGATATATTTAATACCTTACAAATGATCAAATCCATATTTTCACACCTAATATCATACACCTAACACAAATAAATACCTATATTATTTCACGTAAGATGTTTAATAGCAATCTTTTCAGTTTTTGTTTCTTAGTTTTTTCAGGGGTCAAGGCTTTTAAGGTTTTCTTCCAGATTCAGAATTCATATAAAACATTTTCTTCCCAATTGTAGTAAAATCTAACTGAAAATTTACCATTCTAATCTATTTATAAGAATCTGGTTCTGTGACACTAAGTTTATTCATATTATTGTGCAAACATCAACATTATTCATCTTCAGAACTTTTTCATCTCATGTTAAAACTCTTCAATTCTAAAAACAAAATTCCATTGTTTCCCAGCCACTGGTAAATGGCGTATTATCAGTCTGATTTTTGATCCAAGGAGAGAATTTCATGTGTTATATGATAGTTGAATACAGTTTTTTCCAACATGATTTCAAGAAAGCTATTTAGGTACTTACAACATTTACTTTTCTTTGGGGCACATAATTTCTTCTCTAAGCTAGTCTTGTCATCTGAGTGGTAGAATGCATCCCTAAGTCCTTCTGCATCTATAGAAATGGTTTTATATAAAATAAATTGGTATATCTAAATAAATTGTAGAATTACTCCAAATGCCTATTGGGTGATTGATTACCTAAAGACAATTTTTATTTCCTTTTTCTTTGTTGGACATCTTTTAAGTTTTACATATTCTTGACTATTTTGCCCCCTTATGTTCTCTTAGAGTGCTAAGTTTTTTTCCTTTCTTTCTTATAATCCATCTCATTTTGGTCTCTCTTCACTCCTCTATCCTGGATTCTGTCTTCAAACTTTTAATCCTGTTTAACATCTACTATGGTAATAGTGCCCATAAAACTTTCTGTGGTTAACTACATACGTAGAGCTATATATTTACTGTTCGGTGTTGTAGCCAGTAACTGTATTAGCCATTGGGCATTTGAAATGTGTGGCTAATTAGTTGAAATAATAAATTTTTAGTTTCTTAAAATTTCCATGACCTTCAATTTAATAGATACGTATTGCTATTGGCTAGTGGTTAGTTCTGTTTAGGTAGGCTACCTTTATTAATCTTCATAATGATTACTCTGTCCATGTCTACTGAACACCTTCACCCAGTCCACCACTTGGATTATTGTGTAAATTGGAAAAATTCAACACTTTTGAACTTATCCCTTCAAGCTCTCAGCTCGCTTTGGCAGGTAAATCCCACTTTTCAACATTCACACTCGGCAAGTCTGATGTGGAAATCATTATTTTTACTGGCCAGGATTTGTCTTAATTCTGTTACCTTTCTGGCAATGATATCAATGATGGTTTCAGGCTTAAAACATTTGATTTATTGTCACTCCTTTTCAATTCTCAGAAATCTCAGACTGCTTACAGAGTTGCTGATCCTACCCTTCAAAAATATCTTAATTTCTTACCTCTTTAACTATTTCAATACCTTAGTTTATATGCATTTTCTGCCTTGATTGAACTTGTAAAGAAGTCTCTTGATAAATTTTTGCCTTCAGCCTTACTTTTCCATCTTCCGGTCTATTGTCTAAAGGCATTAACGCACTGTAACCTCATCTTATTAATTCTGTCCTTAAACTTTCTATGGGACAAAGTCCTAAGTTGTTAGGTCTTCAGATTATTGTTCTATAAACTCGATTTTTATTTCAAATTTTCATCTTACCTTCCTTTCATTTTGTCCATCCATAGTCTCAGTGTTAACTTGCTTAATTTGCAGTTCTCCAAACATTTCTTTTATGCCTTCTTGACCTTGCAGACACTCATTTTTCTTTAACATTTTTACTTTGGTTTGCAGTTCGATAGAGCTCCAGACTCATCTTAAACTTCACCAACTTAACCTCTTTCTTGGCCACTTTCTTGTCATTCTTACCTCCATACTTAGACTGTACAGCATATTGTATTTATTATATTATATCATTTTTAGAGTGCTCATGTTTTACTTAAGTTATGAATAATTACATTTTGGTAAATATGACTCTGGGACTTGTGAACAAAACATCTCATTAGAATAAAAATAGAATAGAATTGAATTATAAGAGGATAGAAATAGACAAAGGTAAAAGTAAATCTGAAGTAGTCACATGAGAAGAAAGTCGCTTTAAGGATTCACTGAAGTTTAGAACCATTGCTATTCAGGTATGGTGATCAGCTAATTTCTATCCTCACTGAGGACTGAAAAGGAAGGAAATGATTTAAAATGAGGACTGGGGTGTAAGGATTAGATTCTAATGTGTAATTCTGGTTGGAAATGGTTGTTTGATATTAGAAGTGGAAGGTTATATTGTCTCCTAAATACCCTTTAAAATGTTTGATTCTTGTCTGTCTGAAAGTGCTTAGTGGGGCAGAGGGAGCCTGTCTCTAGGAATAGAAAGAAATTCCATCCCTCCTCTGTGGCCCATCTACAAATTGTATGGGGCTATTTTTTCTAATGTGAATAATCAGATTTCCTTGCATACCTCAATCAAATAATTTGCTGCTGGGTTTTGCTTTTAGTGCTTTCGTTCTTTGATAGATAAATATAGGTTGGAAGAATAAATAAGTAAAATTATACTCAACATTGGATTACAGAGCACACACTTGACCGAAGCATTCCAATAAGCATATTCAGAAGAATAGAGAACAGAACATTCAAAATTTTTAGAAAATGAAATGAAATTGTAGCATTTTGATACTCTCAAAATATTTTTGAGCACTATTTATTTACAAAACATATCAGTTGGAAATTGGGAAACTGATGGTTGCATTGTTGTTTGCTAACCTTTTAAATATGCCACTGTTTGACATTAAACAGCAAATGAACAAAAACACCTTATAAATCTATCCTAGGTAATACATAAAATCTAGGGAAATAATCTTGTGAATCTAATAATTTTTGTCTTAGAAACAAATCTTTTTGGCCATCGGACACTGCTGAAAAAAGAAAGAAAATTGTTTTAGGATACGCTTTAATCTAGAGGAAATAGGTATTACTTAGGAAAAGATTTGGGGTATTTGGATCATAGATGAGATTTATTTTTCCAAAGTAGATACAAATTGTATATTAAATTATCATTTTGTAAATCATGTATTTTAAATTTAGTATACCCATAGTCATATTTTAAATTGTATACTTCATTTAGTTCTTTTACTACTAATCTTTTAAAATATGCTTACCATTTTCTTCATTTTAAAGTTATATTGTTATTTATTTTTATGCTGTTGGGTATTGAGGATTGAACTCAATCTCATAGGGGGAAACGTGTAGTCTAATAAGCCCTATGTACTATTATTTTTCTCATTACTTTGTTTCTATTACTTTGGTTACATTAGTTCTTGCTGTTTTCTCTGCAGTGATTCATTTGATAGACGATGTTCACCTTTACGTTTTACACTGCCTTACAATATTCCCGTAGGCATAGCCAGAGTTGTCCAAAATTTCCAGGGTGTGAATCTTTGTAACTTGACTACTTTTTCTTATATTCAGAAAAGAATCCTGGAACACAAATTAATTAGATGGATGTCATTAAAAGAATAACAAGAATACAGAGCATAGGGTAGTCTCCAGGGTTTGATCCCTAGAACCACATTTGCTCCCCAAGCCTGCCAGAAATGATCTTTTGAATGCAGAGCCAGGAGTAAGCTCTCAGCACTGTTGGGTGTGGCCTTGAGCAACTCCCCCCCCCAAAAAAAAATAATCCGGACTGTGCTATATATATAGAAGTAAATAACATATTTGCATATTTCTTTATTTTCACTGAAATTAGTGGAGGATTCAGCTGTTTCAAGTCACTTGGATAATGCTTTGTTCATTTGAATAAAAATCACAGCTCTGCTGCAATTTCCCTTTTTGTCTGTTCCCTTTTCTTTCACTCTTTCCTTTCTTTGACCTCCCAAGCAATGTTCAGGGAACTGGGGGCCATTTCCAGTGATTTTGACAAATTGGGCCTCATTGATTAGTGCAAGGACCCACTAAAACGGTGCTTAATGCGGGGTTGGTGATGTGGAGGGAGGCAGGCAAAATGGCCATTCTAACTGTGTCTGAGCTATCTAGGGCAACCAAGAGATTCTCAGGTGGTGGGCCTTTTGGTGCCAGGGATCAAA